TGGCAGTAGCCCCCCCACCCCCACCCCCCGAAGCAAAACCTCCTAACCGATTCAGGTTATCGGATAAACATAGCACTTCTGAGCTGGTAAACTTTTGAAGTACGCATCAGCGACCACATTGCAATAAACTTTGCCAAAGAACTAAATAAAGTTGGGAGGGGGGATATACTACGAGAAGTAAAAAGCCGCAATAAAACAGCACATCGCAAGTGAACATAGCTATACCCTAGTGGGTTGACGAGATCTACCGCTGGAAGCAACGGCTGTGTATAGGCAATCTGCCCAACTGAGAGGAATGCAACGATCCTTGGATTGCATTATAGTTTGTGCAATCATTGGAATTGAAAGACTGGCGGTGTTGGGGAACACAAGCACCAAGCAGGTTTCCAACCGAATCATTTAATTCCAAGAAGAACCGAACAGTGGGGCGGTGGTTGTGGCGAATGAATCATTCATCAGTCATTTTTTGCTGACTAAGACGCCAGGTTGCGGCAAACCCCGAAAATGGAAGACATGAAAAGTGAACTGCCTAGCCTTTGTCGCCTGGTATTTCGGGTACCGTAAGATCCTATGGATTGACAGAAGCCATCCGGGGTACCTTGTTGAGTAGCATAGGCGCACGATTCATCAAACTACGTTTCTCCCTGATGGACATTCACAAACAGCGAGGGTTTTCCTGGGACCCAGGGGAAAAGGATGCAATAGCACATTGCCGTTCCGCAGTCCGCATTTAGTTGTCCGAGGGCTAACTGTACATCCTCAAACAAAAAGCTGGATAAAGTTGGAGACCTCTTTTGCACCAGACTCCTGTGAAGCTTCATGAGCTTTCTTCTACCCCCGTTGAACAAATACACACACACACTTACCACCGCACGATTCGTTTGCTATCAATCTTGACAAAACTCAAACAATAATAAGCCAAATTGTTCGACGGTAAAAAAATATATATTCTAACGGAATAAAAGGCAAGATCATATCAGAAATGCAGTATATCTGGTAGGTGGGGCAGAGGCACACAACGCCAATTCTGTGAAAATTTGGCCCGAAGTTTGATTGTACAAAAAAAACGAAACGATCACTGTTAATCATAGACAAAAGAGTCAGAGAAAAGTTCTTCATCACCAGTATCATCAGTAACGGGAACATCGCCAACCAACTGTTGCAATATGTGTTTGAAGCGTTGAATACGGAATTTAGCAGCTTGTGTACACGAATCAAGCTCCGCACGCCGTCGCTGTTCCTCCTCTTTACGATCTTTACGCAGACAGTCACTGAAGTCCAATTCTGCCGGGGATCGGGTCCAATATGCGACCAAATCACAAACCAACTGTTGACTGGGGGCAA